AGACCCACCGAACCAGACGTTCCGGACCCTCGCATTATCCCAGCTCCGGCCATCGCTCCTCCTCACCAGGACCACCTACATGCTCCGCCATCCCCAACGCGCCGACCACGATCCAGCACTCCAAGATCACGTTCCCGTCGACCTCCAGTACAATCCCATCGTCATCGCTATTCTCCCCAACGTGCGGTACGACCTCGGTCTCCTCTTCCTCGTTATCGGTCATCTACGAAACACCCCAAGGACCGCAGAACCCCGTCTCCATACAGACGAAGATCACCGCCAAGACGCCGCTCTCCCGTGGTTCCTCGACGTCATCGATCTCACCCAAGACCACGTTCCGAGACACCACGTCACCGATCCAGAGGCCGTGAAGTCGTACTTCGACCAGCTGCACACCCATCCAATCCGGCCTACATCCCCACTCCCGACGCTGATGACACCTGGGGCACATGGAACGACAGCCATTACACCGACAACTACCACCACAACACTGCTCGACCCAACTCTCCTGCCGATCCACCACCACCGGAACCACCTACCAACCCACCATCCCACACTTCCGCACCACTTGGCGCTGTGTCCTTCCGCGTCCCCGACGGTGACAGTGAAAATTCTGAGGTGGCAGATACAATTTCGATCTCAAAGTTCGACACGAATGACATCGACCTCAGTGAAATGGTTGAGGCGGCCAATGATCCCCTTAGGGTCCGCTGCTTGACTGAGCTTGGCCCCGACCATACCGTGCCCCTACGCCAATCATTGACCCCGGCCATCTTGCAGCTCTTCAACCAATTCGTTGACGAGATGTTCCACCAGTTGGCTCAACCATATCGCACCGTCAACAACCAACGTATTTATATCAAAGCAAGCCAAGCCACCGTCAAGAACATTGCCAGGGCCTTTGCACAATCCAACTTACTGGACATCGAGCTTGCGAGGCAAACCCAAGCATTTTACATCGAGCCAGAGAACCTGCTGACCATCACGGTCCCCACGGGATTGAGAAAGAAACCGATCTATCGTGGCGAACACATGGGCACCTACCTGATCTACCACAAAACGAGTTGGGAATCAGTTGCCAAAATTCTCGCGGAAGACTGCATCCGCCCGGCAACTTGGACAAAAAACGAAGCCGGCGTCCCGACTCAATACCCATGTTACGGGTTCTTCGGTATGTCCTCTGAGATCGCTGACATCGACACTTTGCCAGGCTATGCTGTCAAGATTTGTACCTCTCAGCTCTATCGCATAGGGAAAGGACAAAACCCATCTGGCCTATTGGCCATTTGTCGCTCACCCAAATGCATCCGCGCCCTAGCTGGAGGAAATGACCAAATTCAACGCTTGTGCAACCTCGCGGGCATCGCCAAGGGCAAAGACAATGCAACGGCTATGAACTCCAGCGCCGCATCCATATGCTATGTTGCCTCCACTCATTCGGTTTTCCCGGGCTTGATCACACACCAGGCAGCGGAGACAAATCCACCCACGGAACCTCCAGATGATCATGCACGTCCAGTACGACCTGACCCTCCTGCCGACGCACCAGCACCTTCGGACCCACCTCCAGACGACTCTCGAGACACAACTGGCCACCACGAGACCACCGCGTCTGGCTCTCGAGATCATGCTCGCCGATCTTGGCACGACAATGCTTCTTGTGACAACTCAACCTACAGCCGTCGAGATCGCCGATCTTCCCATCACGAAGGCCATTCTCGAGACCAGCACCGTGAAGGCCAACCTCGTTCTCGACACTCGACATACCACTCCAGATCTCGCTGGTGAACTCTTTACCTCTGAGGAGTACCGGAACAAGTGTCGACTATTCTACGACAGCGATACAGTGAGCCTAGTGGCCCTGCCCGATCTTTTTGGAGTAACAATGCTTCTCCCGACATTCGGTATTGATGCCACTTCTTCCCTCAAAAGGTTTGTGAACTGCTGCATGCTCATGATATTTGAACCTTGCGCCAGCTTCGTATTTCACTTTACGTTTCACACACAGGGACCACGTATCATGTTTCACACCGTTTCAACCGCATACCATCCTCGTCTCACCTTGACACTTCACCGCAGCTTTCATTCGGCAGTTCGAGCTTATTTTGACCTATTATCTCGTGGGCCCGTCTACATCATGGCGTCCCAGGACCTGATCTCCCAATTCAGCTCTGACGTGAACGGAATTCCTCCTTCCCAGCCGGATCGTTCTCGCACACCTCCTCGTCATCAACATGGATGGCACCAAGCAGTACCTGTGTTCCGTGGCCCGATGCACTATGCAATGGCGACCCATCGACCTTTTTGGAGCCCGTCCGGGATACCGCCTCCGCCACCTACATCTCCATCGTTCCCAACACGCCCACCATGGACTCCATCTACGGCACCTTTCCCACCTACACCGCCTCCATTTTCCCAGACACCTCCCAACAATGCCAATTTTGCACCTCAACGTCATCCTTTTACACCGAGATCGCCGAGGCCTATGTCATCCCCGGGAGCAAGTTCTACTGTCAACGAAGGGTATACATGCCGACCAATTGAAATCCCACCAGTGGAGCAATGGAAACCTGATGTCGACTTCCACGACTCCAACAAGATCAATGGTTTGGATTTCCCCTCCAGAATCCGACAGAGCAGGTTTTCAAGCTACAAAGACATTGAAGGTATGGATCCTTTACAAGTCCCACTCTGGAAGTTCTTGTACCAGGGCTTACACAACACCTGGCTCCGTCGTGTTGCATACGGAAGAGAAACCTTCGTCCTTCCTTTTGACAACATAGGCACTACAGTATTTGTGGCTGAATTGGTATCACAACTACGCACCCGCAATGTGGATTTGGACAAACTTGCTACCTTTCGAGCTCGCTCAGCAGGCCAATGTCTCAATCAAAAGGAAGCCACTCAAAATATGGCCAAAGACGTCGCTCAACTTCTCCAATCTTGGCTCCCGGCTCAACCCTCCGCGGACGTGGCGAGCCAACAACGCATTCTTGAACTGGAAGCTGAACTGGCCAAGGTAAAATCGGCCGCCAGTACTTCACAGACTACGGCACCTCAGGGGTCTACACCAGCCACGACACCGATTGGACGTGCACTTCAAGGACAACCTGCAGCTTCTACGACCTTTGACCCTTCGGCTCTACTTATTTCTCCGGGATCCGTGAACTCTTGGCTCGTTGACAATCAACCCTCATCATTGACGGATACCCAATGCAAGAAGTGGTTGAAAGACCTGAAATTACCACAGCCCAAGCAAGACATCCTGGAGAAGAACCTGGAGAAGGTCAACGAATGGTGGCAAAACCAACCTGATGATGCCTCCAAAACTATCCAACGCGCAAGCGTGGCTATGGGCATTGACCCCTGCAAGCATAAAGGGGCCACTACGGATGAAGTCGTCCTCAAGGTCATGACTGTGGCGTTATTGATGCACTCCTGACTAGCAGCGTATTTGAAATCACCGGGCTCAAAAGCAGCCAACATTATGCGAACTTTGGCTGTGGCTCATTCCTGTATTCTTGTCCTTGCACTATTGACCCCCTTCACTTTGTCCCCTTCTGTTGATGTCTTTTTTGCTTTTCGGATGCTTCAAACTGTACTGATGGGCCAATATGTGTTATTACATCCACGAGCCAATCCGAAACTCCAAGCCTTGCTCAAAGGCACTCCGATGCAGAGTATTTTCTTTTGCATGTCGTGGGATGACTTGTCAGTCGCCCTCCAATGTTTCAAGCACCTCAGGCAGTGTATATTCGCTTTTGCCACATTGCTAATTTTCAACCTAAGTTTTATGTGGGTTCCACTTCTTCCTTTGTTTTGGACCGTGAACACTCTCGCTATCGGAAATTTCTGCAAGTGCAACAAAACAAATTCGTGTTGGCCGAAGTTGCCTTACGGTTCTGGTGCAGATTTGACAATTTCTGGATGTGGTCTGTTTTTCCGATCTACACCAATAAATCCAACTTTTGGGCTTTGGAACAAGCCTTAATTCAATTGTGGCAACCTCGATTAAACACTCCGTTCATTTACCAGTTTTTCAATTGCCGAAAGGGACTCATAGCGCGTACCAGATCGAGGTATTCACAGGACAAGCCAATTTGTCCAAGACCTTTGAAGACCGATCCCAAAAAGTCAGCATCAGATTAGGCAAAGCATATGGCCAGGACTTCACACGTTTGCATGATCGACAGTGCCTTTTGCAGCTGATTGCATACTCCCGTCCAGATCACCTTTGGTTCAGTTTTCCATGTACATGTTGGAGTCCATGGACACATGTCAACATGAGTAGGGATCCTAAGATTCGAGATGAAATCCTCCGACAACGAAAGATAGCTCTTAGGTACTTGCACTGTGTGTCAGAATGTTGGCATCTCCAAAGGAACCTTGGTGGTCATGCGCACTGTGAAAATCCCTTGGCATCTCAGGCATGGGCCGAGTTAAACTTGGGTAGGTGCTGGGACGTCAGAGTAGATCAATGTGCCTTGGGACTTAGATCACCGAAAAGTGATGTGCCGATCCTTAAGCCGACCAGAATAGTGACAACGCAAGAATCACTTGCACAAGGACTTTTAACGTGTCGGTGTGACGGCAAACATCAGCATGAGCATTTGTCTGGAAGCTATAAAGGTAAAAACTTGACCAGTTGGGCTGAAAGCTATCCACGAAAGTTTTGCAGAACCATGGTAAACCTGATGTTGCCCCATGTTTCCTATGCAAAGCCTATCAAAAGTGCCGAAGAGATTTTAGCCGAAGAAGAGGATGAACTTGAACAACCCGATCAGCCTGTAGTACATGTTGATCAAGGTAAAAATGAACTTGATCGAGCAAGAGCTTTAGTGCGAAAAGTTCATGTCAACACTGGTCATTCGTCCAAAGAGCAGCTCCAGAGACTTGCGTTTCGGTGCCAGTCGTCCAAAGCCATCATGCAAGCAATTAAGGAGTTTACCTGTCCAATTTGCGAAGAGCTCAAACGACCAGCTCTCCATCGCAAAGCAGCCATGCCACATGCAGAGACTCCCAATCAGGTTGTTGCGATTGACTTTGTTCAGGTAGAACTCAAAAGAGAAAGCCGGGATGGAACCGTTGAAGAAGTGGTTAGAAATGTTCTCACAGTTGTTGACTTAGCCACTGATTTCTGCCAACAGATAGTAGTTCCCCGAGAAAAGCATGCATTTTCCAAAGCCTTCCACCAGGTATGGGGACGTCCATATGGGGTTCCAAAAACAGTTTTCATGGATCCTGACCACAGAGCAATGTCATCCGAATGGCAAAGATATCTAGTGAGAAACAACATCCAACTGTTGTATGCCGCCGCAGAGTCTCATTGGCAACTGGGAAAAGTTGAAGTAGTCAATAGGATTCTCCGTGGTATGGCCCAGCGAGTTTGGCTTTCCGGCACCAATGCCACGCCAGAAGAGACCATTGAAGCATGTGCCTCTATTAGAAATGAACAACTTAGAAAGCATGGTTTCTCACCGGTGCAGTGGTTTCTAGGCCGTGAGCCCAGACATGCTGGATCACTTGCAGATGTCGATGAACAGCGGAACATTGTCTCTCAATCCCAGGTTCTGGCTGACCCTACCTTTTCTGCAAAGCTCCATCTCAGAGAGATTGCTGCGAAAGCCTTCTTAGAAGAACATGCACGTGACACATGGAGAAGGGCTGTAGGAGGTAGGAATAGACCAATGCGTGGACCATATACTCAGGGTCAAATGGTTTACATGTATAGAAGCCAGGGTCGGGGACAATTGTCAACAAGACATGGTGCATGGTTGGGACCAGCCCGCATAATTGGGACTGAAAGTTCAACTGATGGTGTAATTCCTAGATTAATCTGGGTGTCATACAATGGTTTTCTGTACAAGTGTTCGCCAGAAGGCTTACGCCCAATTGCAGAAGACGAAGTGCAGTTTCGTGCTCTTTCCAAAGCTCTTGAACAGGGTGACATGCCCGATGATGTTGAACGAGCTGATGAACAACTCAGGGAGAAATCAGGCCAGTTCATAGACCTCTCACAAGATAGACCTGAAGACATAGACATGGACCTCCATGATGATGTTTTGGCTGAGCCGGTCCCCCTGATCCTCACTCAGAGGGCGGACCCCGCAAGATCCGTAGACGTTTTTACCGTTCTCAAGCCTATTGGGAAGCACGAGCTGCCGGCATGCCTCCACATGGTGCATTGCATGAGGGTGAAACTCCAAACGTGGTTCATGACTTAGGTGCAGCACTTGGTGACCAAGATGATGATGATGACAACATGATAAGTGGTCCCCTAGTTAAGAAACCTAGAGTAACCATAGATAGTGAAGTAGAAGAAGTTGAGCCAGAATCACCGTATTCACCATCAATTGCACCCGATGATGTCATGCCGCCTGCCGAAGAAATGCCTGACTTGCCTGAACCTGAAATTGCAGGTCAAGCAGAGCCAAATTCAGTGTTGATGCAGCCAGATCAGAACATGTCATTGGAACCTGATGATACATCACAACAAGAATCTGTAGAGCCTCCCAACAGTGACCAGTCCATGCCGGACTTCAATGCTCCAGTGGAAGTTCCAGTGCCGCCTGATGATGAGCTGCAGGTAACATCCAATCGTCGCAAGCCAAAGGCCGAGCATGTGTTCGAGATGTCACTAGATGTTATGCCTGAAGATATCAGTGATAATCCTATGTGCTTGTGGGGAGTTTTGGATGAATGTTTTCAGGTGACCCCAAAGGCCAAATTACGTAGGGTTGAAGTGTCATTTAGAAAACTATCCAAAGAAGACCAAAAACTTTTCGAGCAAGCCATGAAGAAAGAATGGAATTCTTGGATTGAAAACAAAGTGACATCCTTGTGTAAGGCTAAGGGCATACCTGTGGATCGGATAATCCGAGCAAGATGGGTGTTGGTTTGGAAAAAGAGTAGTGATCCTGATGACCGCAAGAAATCCCCAAAGGCTAGATTAGTTCTAGTGGGTTGGCAAGACCCTGAACTTGGGAAAATCCAGACTGATTCACCGACCTTGCGTAAGGAGACCAAACATCTGATCTTGTCCCTATGTGCAGCCAAGCGTTGGAAGTTGTGGGGAGCTGACATAAAGACAGCCTTCTTATCAGGGGATCCTTCACAACGTGACATATTCTTCAGACCCCCAAAAGAAATTAAGGAATGGATGAATTTGTCAAATGATGATCTCTTCAGATTAGAAAAGGCCGCATACGGCTTAGCCGAAGCACCCCGAGCTTGGTTCCTTAGGTTATCCCGTGAACTAAAGTCAGCTGGTTTACTGGTTTCTCAACTAGATCCCTGTCTCTATTCCTTGCGTAGCAAAAATGGCAAACTCCTTGGGATATGTGGGGTACATGTTGATGATCTCATTGGAGGTGGTGAAAAAGAAATGGACGATGCGCTGTCCAACCTCCGAAAGCAGCTGCCCTTTGGTGATTTCCGTACCTTCACAATCAGGTACACCGGGATTGAAATAAGACAGTGCCCAAACACCTTTGCCATCGAACTGGGCCAGGAGGCCTACATAGATGCACTTGAGCCAGTCGAAACGAAACCTTTAGGTAGTGCCAATACTCCTTTGAAAGATGCTTCAATCATGAGGACATGTGCAGGTCAGTTAGCATGGGTTGCAAACTCCACCAGACCTGACCAAGCATTTTTAGCTTCATTTTTACAGGGCATCCAAGATAAGGGTACGGTAGCACATGTCCAACTTTACAATAAGGCGATTCGAGAAATGAAACAGAGAAAAGTGTGCCTCCGTTTTCCAAGTGGCATTGATGTCAAAGATTGGCGCCTGATGTGCATTTCCGATGCAGGGTGGGGTACAAGAGCCAATGGCGAAAGCCAAGGTGGTTTCATACTTTGCATAACCACCCCTACCATCTTCGAAAGGAGACGCACAGTCTGCTGGATCATCGACTGGCAGAGCAAAAAGCTTCGCAGAGTGGTTCGCTCTTCAGTTGCAGCCGAAACATTGGCCGGTCAGAACGGATTAGATAGCATAGAAGCCTTCCAAGCCATGTTAGCAGAAGTTCTAGATGGATTGACGCCAAGACAGTTCCGTGAAATTGTTCCCACCAATCCTGCTGCTTTGGTCATTGACAGTAAGGGTTTCTTTGATGCCATCACTCGCAGTTGCTGTAGCCAAGCTGTATCTGTTGAGAAAAGACTTCAAATCGACTATGCGATTGCAAAGGAGACCACTGTGAATCAAAACATCATAGTGTTCTGGGTAAACAACCTACGCATGAGCTCAGATTGCCTAACGAAGCTGAAAGGTGACACCAAACCCTTGTATGAAATTCTTGATGAAGGAACTTATGAGATAACTCTTTGTACCCAGTCAGGGAAAAAGGAAAAGCAAGGGGTAGAACCAAAACCTGAGGACTGACCAGGGTCCCTGCAATGCATGCGTTTTTCCGTGAGTTGTATAGATGTTTATTTTTCCCAGCCACCACAGCCTGCAAGGGTCTTTCACATAGAAACTTGAAGGTGTATAGCCGTTTTGCAAGTCCAGTGAATGCATGTCAAAAGGGCATCAAGACTAAGAGGGCGTGATGTAGTGGTCCCATAAACATAAGAATTAATAAGTGTATAGATCAATAAGGCCGTAAGAACATAGCACTTACATGTTTGCCTTGCGAAGCAAAGCTGCTGCAACAGCGATTGTCTGGCCAGACGTGTGCTCAAGGAGATTTATCCGAAAAAGGACCCACCGCGTCTCCCAACAAGGTCTGACCAATTGACCTCAAGTGCTCATGGCAACTCCCGCAAAGATGCCTCGTGGTGCAAAAGGCGTCGAAGGAGTGGACTGTGAGAAGTTGTCCACTGCTGAGATCAGCCATCTCAGTGGATTGCTTCACCGTGCCGTTGTCCATGGACAAGCCCAGCAGGTGATCAATGTTTACAAGGATTCCCTCGCCTTGAAATCTACTATGGTGCCAGCAAGCCATTTGATTCGCGAAGCCGAGCTGATGGGTAAGTCTGAGACCATGGGATATTCCCCCAAGGCAGCCAGCCTTGCGTTGGGAAGCATGTCTGATGCATCAAAGCGTTAGCGCGATCGTGAATCTGACTGGGAAGCATTGAGCTATACCGGGATGTCTGAGATCGAGCCTACATTGCCACATGATGCTTATCAAGCAGGTGATGTGCAGCGCAAAGAGTGGTTTATCATCCACTCCAATCCAAAGATCGAGACCCCGAAGGGTTTGAGCATCCAGGACTGGGGACGCGTTGTCTGTGAGATGGACAAGGTGAAATCCCTCAAGATGAGCTACTATGAGCTTGCAAAGCTGGCCTCCACCAATGATGAGATTGCCGGATATCTACGATGGATCAAAAAGACATATGGCACCAATGACACTGGAATTCTGCAAGGGAAGAAAGTGACGCGTGCTGTAGATTTGGCTTTGTTTTTAGAAGCCACCGGATGGGAGCCTAGTTGCAACGAGGACAGCGAAGTTTCTTTCATTCGCCGTCTGAAGTAGACCATGTTGGTAGAGAAATTTGGATGGGATAATTTTTGAAAGGTGGACGCAAATGTCATATGGAGGGCGTGTTAATTTGCCAGTGACACATGTTGCACAAATCGAGAAGTGTAACACTTGGCATGAGTTGCATACTCCATTTCCGCCGTTGTCCCATTTGTATCAAAGGGCCCTTGAGCCTGCTCTCAGCGAGCTAGGCTGACGCATCGCTCCTTGGTGTTGGAAAAGGTGGCACTTTCGTGCAGCGTTGACCTTTCCGGTTTGACAATAATGTTTCCAGGGCCGAGCTTGCCCTAGTGTGCTAGTGTGCACAAACAACGTTTTCTGGGGTGGGCCTGCGCTAGCGTGCAAGATCCCTCTGGGCATTGATGCCGCAGTTGACATGATATGGTAGGATAGGAATTTCATATCAGGGCCATGCTCCACAAAGATAAGTAGAAATACAAATTTATATAGTCTAGTGATGAGATGGAATGGGCTGAGGGCATGTGATGGCAAAGACCGGAGTAGAAAACATGTGTTGAAATAACACAAACAAGCAAACAAACAAAGAAATATGGAAACAAAGAAGGAAACAAACAAACAAGCAAACCAAACAACCAAACAACAAAAACAAATCAGCAAACAAGGGAACAAACACGCAAGCAAAGACACACACGGACAAACACGGACAAACACGGACAAACAAACAAACATACAAACCAAAACATATACATAATCCATGCAACAGGTCGAGTGTGCCAAAATGCGCGACGCTTGCAAACAACCACTGCAATACCCACAGATAAAAATACGCATGCACACACATCCATCCGTCTGTTCATCCATCCGTCCCTGCGTCCATCCATCCATGCATGTATGCATGCATAGGCACCTACGTACATACATACAAAAATACATGTGCACGTAAACGCACACACACATACCTGGAAAGGAGTAAGACAAACTTCGTGTGCAGCCTCCTGCAGTACTTGCACCACATCACATCGCATCACATCACATAAAGTTTATGTAAACTCTTGGTTGCATCTACACAGAGAATATGCGGTCGTCTTGAATAAAAAGCAAAAAACAGGAATCAATCAAGAGAATAAAACAAGCAAAACAACTAAACAAAAGATCCCTGCAAATCATTGGACGTTTGTTTATTCTTGTTTTCATGTTTTGAGTCTGGACTCGGGTCTTTGTTGCTTATTGTTTTTCTGTTTTTTCGGCAAAGAAACATTTCCTCATGTTTTCTCTGTCCAAGACCAGATTTCGACATTGAATTAAATATCATTACGTTACATTGCATGACGTGATGCAACGTTACATTGCGTTGCGTTGTAGTAGTACATACATACATACACGTGCACACGCACACATACACATTCTCAGGAAGGAGCAAGCACGACATGTGCCACAAGCATTCTTGTGACACACTTGTTTGAACTGCACTGCATGCACACATATATGCATATATATACACAAAATATGTACATACAGACAGACGCGCATACATGATACATACATGTTGCAAAATGCAGCTGCGCACACGCAGAGTTGTATTCCACAAAGAACGCAGACACACCATTTACTATATACACACACACACACGCACAAGGCCGGCACATACACATATCTAGACTCACATTATCAATTCAAGGCTACTCTGCCTCCGTATGATACGTATGTCCCATCTACGTCCATTTACAACCACACCTTTTCAATAAATATGTTTATTGTATTACTGTATGTATATATATATATATAGATAGATATGCTTGTGTACCTACAACCTACATACCTACCACTTATCTACTTAGCCTACAAACGCATGCGGATACATCCAGACCTACCTGACCTACCTACCTGCCTTCCGACCTGCCTACCTACCTACCTACCTACATACATCCGTCCATGCATCCATCCACCCATCCATCCATCACTTTTGCAAACATGCATGCATGCATGCAAGTGTATACATGCATATATACAAACTCACTTATATCGTAGAAAAGAATCATTTTATGGCGTGACATTGTGACTACATAGATTACATACAAGACACGCAGTCACGAATTACAGATATTGCAAGGATATTACATGGCACATGCAGCTCCCAGTGTAAGACTCGAATAGGGGATGTCTCAACTAGGGATGCCCCACACATGCTTGAATCTTCCAACAAGAACATAGATTTCGGCATCGTGTTGAGCACCCTGGTTTTGAGACATTCCCATACATACCTGTTGTGCTTAGCATGTTTTCCCTAAGCAAGCCACGTACAAGATTGTAAGGAAGGGGATAGGCATGAAGGCCTTCAAATAAAGCATTTTCTTTCCATGCTGGAGTGTTTTGTTCTGCGTTTTTTTGTCGAAAAGTAATCTGAGGAGAAACCTTTTGAAGTGTATTGATGAAGGATTTGGAAGAAATCCGTCGTTGGAGCGTTTTGCCCGGTTGCACTGTTTTCAATTGTTTATTTTTGGCTTAGATTTATTTACGGAAATTAAAGAACCATTGAGGGCGCCGGGGCGTCGACACATTCGTTTACACAGCTGTGGGCAACAACAGTACGCACATGGCTTTGAAACACGCCTCTGCTCTGCATGCACGTTGATGCCAAGCCATTGGCAGGTGCGACATGTGCACGTATGTCAGCGTCGACTGAGTAATCGTAAAAAATAGAGCTAATTCTATTTCACTTTTATTTAGTTTAATTGCTTATTTATTAATTGCTTATTATATATTCTGAGTTTAGGTTATATTATATCCTCATTACTTTTATATTTATTTCTATCGGATATATCTTTCTTATTAACTATACTTTCTACCATTGAATTATTTGTTCTACTCTTCAAACATTAACGTTAGCCATCGTATATCAATAAAACTATCTCAGGTTCTTTTTAATTACAGCTATTTACTATAGCCACGCATGTTAATGTAACTATTGTTGTATGAATCTTCCTTCTATTATTTCTTGTATTTATATTTTGTTTTGAGTTTACTCAGCATTCAATTATTTGTTTGTAGTTTTTTATCATTATCGTAAAGCCCCATTTAATCTGAGCATTATTGTTTGAAATTATTGTTTGAATATATTGCATATCGAGCACACACCCGGTGATGCGCGCAAATTCAGGCGGAGAAACATGTTGTGGTGATGCCGCGAAGACCTAAACTATTCATTCCTGAATGCACGAGTAGGTATCGAATGATTTTGGGGCGGGTCACCACGTGGTTGGCATTTTGCAGCCGTGCAATGGTGCGAACATTCACCGAGCTTGATAAACCCCAATCCGCCAACAATATTGCATGAATGATCAAAAAAATGCCGCAAGGAAGGTTGACGGTATTTTTGTATGATGAGTGGATGCGAAAGAAACCATTATAACATTATAAATCTATAGAAGAACATTGATAGTCACATAGTCGGATCGGATGAACAAATGTTTGCTAACATAAGCGCACCTGTTTGCTGCTGGCATGTGATTGCGCCGTGTGTGCCCCCAAGCTATTAGAATATCCGAGTTTCCACATGGGTTCAATAACAGTTTCGTTATCTAATGCCTGCGCGATTCAAATGCGTTATGCCACCACTTTGCTGTTTCTTACCGTTCTCATATGTTTTGATGTAATAACATCATCCGTCGTCTTACCATGCAAATTGTGTTTGCTCATGTTTGCTCCAAACTTGGTTTGAATGTGATTCACATAACATTTTGCATTTTTTTGTTTTTTATAGTCGAAGTCCAAAAGGTCTCCTAAGTAACCCTCGTACTCAAGGCCCACTAGGGCACCATACAAGCTCACCGCCCTAGCTAGGCACATATCCTACATGACCCCTAAAATGCTGTCCTGTGCCGTCATGTACTTGCGCTTGTCGTGTTTTTGGTATCTTTTGAGATGTTACCCAATAACATGATATATACACTGCAAGACTCTTGCATCATTATTGGTATCCATCTTGTTCAGATTTGATCCACTGAAAGCTTCCATAAATCATATGGAGCTCCTTGCGGCTTCCTGGGCCTACAGAGCAACTCTTATGATCCAAGGTGGGTAGGGCACTGAACGAGCTTACCGCCCTAGTTAGACAGGGGGACCCGTTTCTGTACGCTTCGGACGTCCTTACGGGATCAGAGTGCATGCTGCGGTCAGATTCTTCTACCCCCAGCTTGGAAGACCCAGTTCTGGAACATTGCCACGGACAGTCCGGGCTTTGAAGGGGTGGGCCATTGCGGCCCCACCTCGTCAATGACTTCCTCTTCCAATCGAGGCTCTGGGTGCAATCATGGGACAGATGATGAAGTTGAACAAGGCAGAGATGGCTCTCAGGGTTTTCATTCAATTCCTGACCTATCTCCGACCGGGCGAACTGTCAGGACTGACTGTCGGGCAGATGGTTCCCCCACAAGGAGCAATGGCGGATCGGTTCAGAAGCTGGGCCATTTTGCTTCATCCGGTGGAGAGCAGAGTGCCTGGCAAGGCCGGAGTTTTCGATGCAACAGTCCTGATAGATTCCGACCCATGGTTACACCCAATCCTTGTCAGCATGATCTCCAACCGAAAGCCGCTGGATCCCCTATGGCGAGACTCACATCCAGCCCTGGTCAGGACCTTTTCTGGAATCACAGCAGATCTGGGATTGGAACATCTGGGAAGTTGTTTGTACACTCTTCGACATGGGGGCGCGACTCACGACATCATCACACGCCGCAGAAATATGCTGGAGGTCAAGCAAAGGGGCCGGTGGCAGACCGATTCATCGCTCCGTCGCTACGTGAAGCTAGCAAGACTCCAGCACGAGCAGTCGAAGATTCCAAAGTCGATAGCGGATAGCGGAACAAGGTCGCGAGGTGCTGGCAAACCTACCTCAACTCTTGCAACATGCTCTTCTGAAAGGCGGGGGGCCACATGGAATCCAAATATCACAAAGAGGATGCAAAAGAAAGCTTCCCTTAAGCCGAAACAACAACAGCTGAATGGTGTTCAACTTTTGAAACAGTTGTTGAAGGAGGCTGTTAAGAAGGCTAAGGTTAAGAAGCGTCAGGTCTTTCTAGATCTTTTTTGCGGGGATCAAGGCATTTCTAAGAACATTGCTAAGCAAGGGTTTGGCGTTGTTTCCATTGACATTTGCATTGATCCTCGTCTCAACCTGTGTAGTCCCTGCATTCAGAACCTCATTTTAGGATGGACTCGTAGCCGTTGCATTTTAGGAGTTTGGCTTGCTACACCTTGTCCTACTTGGAGTAGAGCACGTCATGGTCCCATTGGGTCTGGTTGGGGTCCCCTCAGAGATAGTCAGCATCTGTTCGGGTTACCTGGGTTGAATGTTGGTGATCGATCTAAAATCAGACTTGGAAACATGACCGCTCGTTTCTCCTGTCGGGTCATTGATGCTTGCCGCCAAACCATGGTCCCATGTCTCTTTGAAAACCCTGTTAACTCCATGATTTGGTTGATTCCCCGGTTGTCTGCTCTTTGTTCTGTTGATTGTTCCCGGTTGTATTCTTGTGATTTTTGTTTGTCAGTTTGGAGCCAAGTGGAGGAAATGGACCAGAGTACAGGGCTGGCACATCCAAGACTCGGAGCTGCTGCAGTGTAAATGTAGTGGTCGTAATGGGTGGTGTCCTAGAAACAATCGGTACCACATTGTCCTTAAGGGCCAAGACCCCATCACTAAGCAGCTTTGGACCCACTTGGCACAACCATATCCGACCAATTTTGCGCGGGCCGGAGCCAACCTTTTGATCCAGTCAAGTTTGAATTTATCTGATTTCTTTTTGCGTCAGCGATTCGGCAATTGATGAGCCCGTCTTTTAATTTCGGCGTTCCGCCAGCTTCGCCACTTTGGGAGTGCCAAGGTTTGGGCAGTGGAAGGGACAGCGCAGGATGGCCTTGAGGCTTTCTTGCTTGCGTGTATGTTTCTTCAACTGATGCCTGCTCCTGCCTTCCTCTCAGATAAAAGGCGCTGGCATGTGGGTGGCTCAGGATGATGGGTGTTCTAGAACATGATTCATCCATGCATGAACTTGCCGATCATTGCTATGCAATCTCTCCTCTCAAGTGTTCCCTCCCTGTCTTGGCCCGACCCATTTTGAAGGTGGCTCAGGATGAAAAATGTGTAATGAAAATATTTGATTATAGTTTCTGTATTGTACATGTGTTATTTCTTTTGGTTTTTATGTATGTTCACCTAATGTAATTGCTCTTGCCCTATGATTTTTTGATGACATTTTAAGGCATAATGTGACATAATGTACCCAAATACCAATGTGGAGGTATATGTGTATTCATTTGGTGTGGGGTTATTATTTGGCTTGGGGCCTGGGGTTACTGTTTGCAAACTAAACCCATTGCATGCCAACCAACCCTATTAGGTACTTTGTAAAATAAAAAGGTGCTTTAAGCCCCCTTAAGGTACCTTTTCATTTTTTCGGAAAAATAAGGCAAATAGACTCAAAATGCCTAAGGCAAATGTTTGATTACAGTTTCAGTATTGTACATGTGTTTGTTGATGTGTTATTTATGTATGTTCACCTAATGTAGTTGCTCTTGTCCTAGGATTTTTTTGATGCAACTTCAAGACATAATGTACCCAAATACTGATGTGGTGGTATATATATATATATATATGGCACCCCCCCCCAAAAGTCTACCATTTTAAGCTTCATAAGATTGGACTGGGGGTGCCATATACAAATACATTGTAAATAGGCCTTTAAAAACTGCCTGTAAAAGCCTTGCTTGATCTGTGAAGTTCAGACTTGAAGTTCAGACTTGATGTTCAGACTTGATGTTCAGACTTGAGTTCAGGCTTGGAAATCTTCAATCCCAGATTGAAGATTGAAGATTTTCCAGGACTCTCCCTAGAGAATCTTCAATCCCGGATTGAAGATTGAAGGTTGAAGATTTTGGTTCCTGCGTCTTGAACGCTGCCTGGGAGATGAAGCCACCTTTGACAAGAGGGATGTCTTGTCAGACGTCTTGTCAGACGCAGCCTGGGAGCATGGAGTGAAAGCGGACCGCTCCATGCTCTGGGAACAATGGTGCGGATTGGTTTAGAGAGGGAAGCCTCAGACACTAGTGCTTGCCCGACTCAGCCCAACATTGACAGCTACCCGGTCTCCAGGCCCCGGCCCCATCACAAAACAGGATTGGGGGCCTTTGGGCAAGAAATGGTTGGCCAACCGCTCTGTGATTTTCCACACTGACTCGGCCAAGGCGTACAAGATGAAGCTCCCTGGCGTTCTTCATGATTCGGTTGTCCACCAGAAAAAGCGTGTCAAAAAGAACGGGAAATGGGAATGGACCAAGCCAAATTTTGTTAAGATGAAAGTCCACAAGTTGCCTGGGGGAAAGACCGTGAAGGTGAAATGTGGCACCCAGCACATTGACCGCTGCTGGAAATTTATTAAGGAACGTTTGTCGAAAGAGACGAACGTTCGTGCTGGCATGGGCCGCTTGCAAGCCCAAATTCGTTCTGCCCAGTATGAGTATTGGTACCGGGGGGACGACATGTGGGTGCGCACAGGAGAACTCCTGTCCGCTTACATGTCTGAGATTGTGGTTCCTGCGTCTTGAACGCTTGTGCGCCAGGACATCACCGGTGAGAAAGAAATTGCTGCTATGCCGCCGGACATGTGCTTGATTCCTTCCTTCGTTGTGTGAGCTTCATTCCCAGTACTGGCTTGAAATTTATGCCTCCAGCTTGCCCATGATCATGCAAGTTTATTGAATGATGATTGAAGATCACAGCCCACCCATGACTTCAGAAGTTCTCACTTCTGGACTGATGACTGAAGTTTGCAGCCCACCCATGACTTCAGAAGTTCCACTTCTGGACTGATGACTGAAGTTTGCAGCCCGCCCATGACTTCAGAAGTTCCCACTTCTGGACTGATGACTGAAGTTTGCAGCCCACCCATGACTTCAGAAGTTCCTACTTCTGGACTGATGACTGAAGTTTGCAGCCCACCCATGCCTTCAGAAGTTCCCACTTCTGGACTGATGACTGAAGTTTGCAGCCCACCCATGACTTCAGAAGTTCCCACTTCTGGACTGATGACTGAAGTTTGCAGCCCACCCATGCCTTCAGAAGTTCCTACTTCTGGACTGATGACTGAAGTTTGCAGCCCACCCATGACTTCAGAAGTTCCCACTTCTGGACTGATGACTGAAGTTTGCAGCCCACCCATGACTTCAGAAGTTCCCACTTCTGGACTGATGACTGAAGTTTGCAGCCCACCCATGACTTCAGAATTTTCCATGTGTGGACTGATGACCAAAATATTATCACCACTCTAGTACAGCTGGAATCTTGAGACCCTTCCAAACTCACAAAAAAGGTAGACTTTTCAGGGGGGGTAGCTTATATATATATATGTATTCATGTGGTGTGGGGTTGTAATTTGGTTTGGGGTTACTGCATTGCAAACCAAAACCAATGCATGACAACCAAACCATGCTTTGGGTTACTTTTTAAAACGCATTTAAACATGGTGGGTGCAACATGTCAAAAGAATTTGCACAATAAACGGCCATTGGTTTGTTTTGTTTAATGAGAAAAAACGCTTACAAAGAATAGTAACCTATATTTGGGGTTACTTCTTGTAAAATGATCCCAACAATAGATCCCTGTGGTTATTTGTGAGCAAACCAAGGCACCAAAAAAAACATATTTTCTATTACGGCCCACAGTGTACTTTGCACAACCAATTTGGTTTCTACTTCCTTTGGTATGTTGCTTTTAAAGATTTTTTTCAACCAATAACATACATGAAACCTATTTTTTTTGAAAAAAACATTTTTTGAAATAAAACACTCATTTTTTTAAACAAAAAAAACATGGTTTTCAAGAAAATAAACACTTAAAAAAACAACTTTCAGGGCAGTAAACAAAAAATAAAGAGAAAACTTGTTTTTTTAAAAAACAAAATAGTGTTTATTTTCTTGAAAACCTTTTTTTTTCTCAAAAAAATGAGTGGTTTATTTCAAAAAATGTTTTTTTCAAAAAAAAACGGTTTCATGTATGTTATTGGTTGAAAAAATCTTTAAAAACAACATACCAAAGGAAGTAGAAACCAAATTGGTTGTGCAAAGTACACTGTGGGCCATAATAGAAAATATGTTTTTTTGGTGCCTTGGTTTGCTCACAAATAACCACAGGGATCTATTGTTGGGATCATTTTACAAGAAGTAACCCCAAATACAGGTTACTATTCTTTGTAAGCGTTTTTCTCATTAAAAAAAATCAAATAAAAAACGAAGGTTATTGTTGCCTGGTTTTTAGATAAACATGTAGTACCAACCATGGTTTGTGTTTGATTGAATGCTGTGTGTTTCCAACATAGAAACCCCAAACATAGGTTGGTTGTCATGCAATGGTTTTGGTTTGCAATGCAGTAACCCCAAACCAAATTATAACCCCACACCAAATGAATACATATATATATATATATATACCCCCGCATCAGTATTTGGGTACATTATGTCTTGAAGTTGCATCAAAAAAATCCTAGGACAAGAGCAACTACATTAGGTGAACATACATAAATAACACATCAACAAACACATGTACAATACTGAAACTGTAATCAAACATTTGCCTTAGACATTTTGCGACATCTATATGTTTATTTGTTTTATTTTTCCGAAAAAATGAAAAGGTACCTTAAGGGGGCTTAAGCCACCGTTTTATTTTACAAAGTACCTAATAGGGTTGGTTGGCATGCAATGGGTTTTGTTTGAAAACAGTAGCCCCAAGCCAAATAATAACCCCACACCACATGAATACACATATACCTCCACATTAGTATTTGGGTACATTATGTCACATTATGCCTTAGAATGTCATCAAAAAGTCATAGGGCAAGAGCAATTACATTAGGTGAACATACATAAATAACAAAATTAAACGCATGTACAATACAGAAACTATAATCAGATATTTGCACTAGACATTTTTGAGACATTCCCATTTCTATTTTTTTCGTTTTATTTTGCAAAAAAAACCCAGGTACCTTAAGGGGGGCTTAAAACACCTTTCATTTTACAAGGTACCTTATAGGGTTGGTTGGCATGCAATGGGTGTGGTTTGCAAAACTGTAACCCCAAGCCAACTAATGATTAATAACACCACACCACCTGAATACATGTATTTGTACATACATATATATACATATATATATAAATAAATATATATATATATATATATAGCCACAGTGATATTTAGGCACATTACGTCTTAGAGT